TAGTACAGTCAGCTTGTTTTTCGGCAATTTTTTCTTGAATTGTTTTTTAAACAAATTTTTGAGACTCCATTTTTACCATTATGCCATCCGTAAGTAATAGTGCAGAAAGCGAAGATTTGGTTACTGGATCAACGTGTTGATTTCTCTCCCGAGAGAACGGTATTACTCGGTACCCGAAAAATTTTAATATTTCTTAATTTGTTAACAGTGTTCCAGACATGGTTCATGGGGCTCCGAAAAGTTTTTATAACCGACAGACCTACTTGTTTTTGCGGACAAGGTTCGTCGCTTCGGTTTGGAATGTTGAAGACTGTTCGTATAGGACGCCAATAGCCCGGACTTGCCTCGCACTTGGTAGCATGATCATAGAACAGGTAGAGGCAGATAGAAGATTACTTTTAAGATAGAAGATAACAATTATTATTTTTCAAAAAAATGTATCTAAAAAATTGATCATGTGAGCAATACTTGGTTTACATGTATCACATTTGAACTTGTTTTACAAAAAGACCTATAGAAAGAAGTTTGATATATGATTATTGAACAAATATTGACTTCTTAGTCAAGAAATAAACGGAACTTTCAAAGTAAATCAGACTAAGAAGAAGAAGCACTTCTTAGTGAAGAAATAAACGGAACTTTCAAAATAAATCAGACTAAGAAGAAGAAGCATTTGGTATCGTATGTTACGGGGCGCAAAAACTTCTTTTGCACATCGTTATCTAATAATTCAGATCGATATTTGGTCAGCGAAAAAGCTTGCAAATCTTTAGTTTTGTCATACTATTTGTAACAGCCGCTAATACATGTAAGGTGTAAGATGTAAGATGTCACATAGGCATATATATGCTTAAACAACGAAAGATTCTGCCCATCCGTCCATCTAGGCTGCGTCTTGTACTTAGTTGGCATCTTCTTCTTTGCAAAGATTGAATTTTAACACAAAAGCGTTTTATTTATCTCCACAGATGAGTTGAATCGTCCTTTCGATTTTTTTATTTATTTTTGATGTGGCGAATGTCTTTGGGGATGTCGCCTATTCGCGTAATACGTTGACAAACAGAAAGAAGTGAGCAAAGAGAAAGAAATGGAAACGCGATGGGCGTGAAATCTACTGGTAAGCATTCACTATGGTCCCAAAAAAGGCAAACTCCATCGCATTAATGCATTTGAATCCACGGACACTGACTGAGTTGTCGCGATTCTTACCTAATCGGCTACTGATATTGCTCATTTATCAAAAGAGGACACTGTTAGTGTGAGTATGACATCGAAAGATTCGTTTCAAACTCAATATAACTTATCTCTCTTGTTATTTATTCATGGCATTAAATTTACTTCTTTACCGTCTAAAAGTTTTGATTTTATGTATATATATATATATATATATGTGTAAAATAAAAATAATCGAAAACCACTTCGCTGCATGAATGAATCGAATTTGGTTTCAGTGTTTTTTGTTTTCATTTATGTTGATTTGTAATTTAAATTCTGTTCACCAAATCTTTTAAAAAACATGCATATGTACACAGATGTCAATGCGTACTTATACATACATTCACCCTACGAGCAATACACCACAATTGCTGCTATCAAGTCAAGAACAATAAATTGTTGTTTGAATAAGAAAATCCAAAGATGCCTGCCAAACGAAACAAACAGATTTTAGCCAAAATAAACGAGACATAACCAAAATAATGTTTATCAAAAAAAAAAAAAAAAGTATGTATATATTTGTATTCAGGAATTAAGAAGAAGCAACCATACAGAATGAAATTCTCGACATAATCAGAATCGAGGAAAAAGGAATGAATGCAAAAATCTTGCATGTTTGTTTTCGTTTTTCTTCGAAGAGTATAGAAAATTTAGAATTTATTTTCTATTTATGTTATTCTATGCTTTTTGTTCGGCGTTCTTTGTTCTTTACTCCTTGTTTTTTCGTGTTTCTTTCTTTTTTGTATTATTTTTTTTTTTTTTTTTTTTTTTTTTTACTTCTAAAGAAAATTTTAGTTTGTCTAGCATTATTTTTTGTTTATCTGCATAAAATTACTGAAGAAAAATGATATTGATACTAATGCTGATGATGTTGACGATGATGATGATAGTGATGACGCTAGTGGTTATGTTTTCTGAATGTATGCACGGCTTTATATTGAAACGTAAACAAATTTAAATATGCTCCTATATATATATACATATATATATATATATGTATATATGTTTGAGGTACGTACGTGTATCTACATACAGTCACTCATAGTGAAAGAGACTAACTACAGATTTAACTTGTACGACGAGTAATTCTGTAAAAGTTGGAATTTAAGATTGCCAAACACAAATCTTTTCTGTTTGAAATCAAAACAATATATATTGGCACTGGCATTATGGCTGTTTATATATACTGATACACGTCGATCATACATATACATATATACACATATGGGTATATACAACATATTTCGTAACAAATACATTGAATTATCAGTGTATATACAAGCGTTGTATCTCACTCGGTTATCCACTCAATCGCAACGAGAAATACTATACAAAATATATATATATATATATATATATACAGAGTATTGAATAAAACGCATATGTGCGCTCTGCTATACTTCGCTTTTGTTCGTGCTAAGCTTTGTGAGTTGAAAATTGCCATAATATATATACATTTACATATACGTATATATATACGTATTGCACACATGCACGTGTACACAAATAACATGTCATTCACTTGCCTATAGAACAAGTGTAATACCATATGTATAACAAACAACAACAATGCTTCAAAAATGACAAGGCGATGTTTGCTAAAATACGTACTACATCCAATTCTTTGAAACTGCTTGTAAAGGGGAATCGACAGAATGTTTTCATTTTAAAGAGAAATTTTTATTTCACTTTAAATCGCGACTACTATACGCTTTATAGGGAATTTAAAAGAGAATCAGGCGAGCTTGGCTTCGAACTTTTGATCCATTAAAAGCCTATCACGATTCGTACCTCGTCTGGCGGGCATGTGTTTCGCTTGCTGCAGAAAGCTCTCTTAGCGTCAGGTTGTCACCGCGAACTTTGGCAAATTCCGAGTAACAACATAAGCATTTTACCAAAAAAATAATAATAAAAGATTCTCGGTCCATATGACAAATATTTGGTGTGATAAAGCCCATTTCATACATGATACACGATGGATTTATACGAAGGGTTTATATTTTGGCGACAACCAAGCTCCGATGTGGAGCTAATAATAAGCTATATTCGATTGTAGATAACTCCAAACGAGAGAAAAATGAAACATTTCTAGCAAGGATTCAAATATCAAACTGAATAGACTAAAAAAAGAAGATGCTTGAGTTAACTGACACCTTGAGGATATCTGAAAACAATGCATGAGCATTTGTTTATGAGAAAGCTCGGTTCGAAATGGATGCCGCTTTCCTTAGCTTTAACAACAAGGTTTTGACGACTTATAGCTCTGTTTGGCACTATTTAGGCGAAATAAACAGGTTTTTCTCCTTGTAATATATAACAATGTGACGTCATTACTGTCCAGTGTGAAATTGGCAGTCAACTGCGTAGACCACTAAACTAACTGTAACTCGTAAACGAATTGTCACAGAGACATGAAATTTTGACGAATATCGTTTAAAAGTTAGTACGGTCCACAAATCACCGGGATTTGTCAGACCGGCGTCTCATTGAATCATATGATGCATGCTTGCGCGGAGATCAGCACTTTCGGTTGCACTCAGTTGTAAACATCCAATACACATCCTAAAATAGATTACTCCTTGCCCAAGGACGTTAGAGCATTCAGAGTTTACATACGAGTTTTATTGGTAACTATAAGCAAACGAAAGAAAAATTGTAGATTCACGCTGACAGCTTTGACCACTCGTCAACCCAACATTAGCTTTTGCAGGAAGATTAAGATTAGGGCAGCAAGACGAAATTTATTGCAGATATTTTTATTTATTTGTGTCAAGTTGACACTTTGACACAGCAGATGGCCTTCAACTACGCTCGGAAGAAAAAAATTGAGATTTTATATGTGTGCACACACACTCGCATCTCCCATTCATACAGTTATATTTATTATTTATTTAAAAGAAATAAATGAAAACATTCTGGAAGTGCATGGTTTATGGTATAATTTAATTATCTCTGCTTTTGTATATGTAAAGGAAAAATATTTACGACCGCAAACTGCGTAGCTAACGCAGCCAACGTAGCCGGTGAAGGCAAAGTCAAGAATATAAGTGAAACTAAAGGTCTGGTGAAACATAACATACAAGATGTAATAAATAAATGCTTCTTGAACATATTTATAGTTGCGCTTGTGAGTACATCTTTGTTCGGTCACTTCACGAGTTTGCCTGTATGTGTTTACAGAAAGTCTATTCGTAATCGTCGCCATACACAGATAGGTAGATGTGAAACGATTCGATCTTAGCCTACTCTAACCTACAGCTGATTTTTTTTTTTTTGGCATTTTTATTGATTACCGTTGACCTAGATTAGGGATCAAAATGGAAAGCTTTAGAAGCAAACAATTATGATTTGGCGATGGGCTTTTAATACACAAAATTATAGAAGTTACTGCTAGCAAATCTTCGACCCGAAGCGCATAAATGAAGAAACCTGCCTCGCCCGTTAAGGCTGGCTTGACTGCTTACGCTTAAGATAATCAATATTTCACGCATAAATGACAACAAGTTCGTATACACCCACTTCCAAACCAGGAGAGAAATAGAATGTTTTAGAATATTTTCCTGCATTTTTCTTTTTTTTTCCTGCGTTTCTTTTTACGCTAAATTTATTTTAGGATGGGAACTGTTGTCCTTGTGGCAATAATATTGAACTTAAATTATATGTGGGTTTAAAAAAGACGATGATAAAGCGTTAGAAAAATTCTTAAAGAAATATTTTTAATTTAAGTGAGTTTTTTCCCGATTAAACAACATTTTTTTTCCTTTCTACTATTGTTTTCCTTACAGCTGTCAACAAGCTTCGCTTGGTGGTGAACGACAACCATCATCAACCTCATCACTAGCAAAGGTTGAGAGTTAGTTGGCAATCAATCTGAGACTTCAGATCACAAAAGCATAACTTAGAACAAAGTTACGACGCATTTTACAAGGGTGCTAGAGCGACGCTATTACATAGACTTAAACAACATCAACTTAACCCATTTCGTATATCGCATAATCTTTTCATTCAACCGAATATACGCACACAAACACAATGAGAAATACAACGAAACGAAAATCTGTGGCAACCGACCAAATGAAAAACGAAACATTTAAAACCACAACAAGAGCAGTTACAAAGACAGCGACAGCAATAGCCTCAACAGCCATAATAGTTGAGCAGAACGAAGACCTGTTACAGCAACGTTTGTTGCCGTTACGCTCGTTAACGTTGTCATCTGCAACATGTCATGTTGACGATGTACACAACAGCCAAGTACAAAAACACCAAAAGCAGCAGCAGCACCATCAACACTATCAGCGAAATCATCAGCATAAGCTTCATGAAAAGCCACAAGTTACAAAATTGTCAGGCCACACAACGTTACAGCAGCTACCGAGAAGACAACTCACAGCCGTTGCAATAGTCATGTGCTTGTATATGTTTTCCGGTCTTGTGTCGCTAGCAAATGGTTTGGCAAATTGTCCGAATAGCTGTCAGTGCGATGATGATATCCTGGTGGTTAAGTGCGGCGAGGGCACCTTAGATGTATTGCCCATTGCTCTGAATCCTTCCATACAACGGTTGATAATTAAAAACAATAAAATCAAAACCATCGATTCACCGATACAATTCTACGCAGAGCTGACATTCCTCGATTTGTCCTACAACGATTTGGTGACTATACATCAACGCACTTTTGCATATCAGCGTAAGTTACAAGAATTGCACTTGAATCACAATAAAATTGGACAAATCACGAGTAAAACCTTTATCGGTTTGTCAGCGCTTAGTGTTTTAAATCTACGCGGTAATTTGTTAGCTGAACTAGAAGATATAACTTTTTCTCCATTGGGCAAATTGGAAGAACTAAATTTAGGGCAAAATCGTATTAGTCGAATAAGCGCGAAAGCGTTTGAAGGTTTAATAAATTTGAAGGTCTTATATCTCGATGATAACACTTTAACCTCCGTACCCGCTTCCGACAGTTTTCGCTCCCTACCAAACTTAGCTGAATTATATTTGGGTACCAATTCTTTCATGACAATTCCGGCAGAGGCTTTTAGCGAATTAAAAGGGCTAACACGTTTGGATTTAAAAGGAGCTGGTCTCCATAATATCTCGGCCGAAGCAATGAGGGGTCTAGAAGGTGTACGCTACCTCGATCTATCTGACAACCGTTTACAGCACATACCTCAAGCAGCTTTAAGTCATTTAGAGCGACTAGAGGATCTCTCCTTAGGACAAAATGATTTTACAGTTATTTCCAGCGGGGCCTTTTCAGGTTTAAAAAATCTGAAGCGCTTAGAAATAACTGGCGCCCAAAGATTAAGGCGAGTGGAAAATTCAGCGTTCACAACGAACAGCAACTTGGAATATCTCAACCTATCAACCAACAAAATGTTAAGTGAAATACAGGAAAACGCTTTTACTGGACTACCCCATTTAAAGCATATTATATTGAAAGGTAATCAATTGCCAACCTTGGCTGAGGGCTTTTTCTCTTGGTCAGATTTGCATACTTTGGATCTTTCTGATAATCCTTTGATATGCGATTGTGAGTTGTTGTGGTTACGTTCCTTATTATTTGCTAAAAATGGAACCAATGAACAAATATTAGGTGTTGTATGTTCTGCTCCCGCTTCTTTAAAAGGTGAATCATTAAATGCCGTTACGCCGTCTATGTTAGGATGCTCTCATGCCGATGCAAAGCAACAATTTTTTCTCGGTATATTGTTGGTAGTAAGCGCAGCCGCAATAACTATTTTGGCTTTGGTTATATATACGTGCCGGAGAAAAATTCGTGAATTGCTTAAAGGGGATTGGGGTAACCCTGCCTTGGGGCGAAAGGAAAGAGAATATCAGAAAACATTCTCAGATGAAGATTACATGACGCGCCAACCACAAATGCCGTGCCCTTTGCAAGCCAATGTTCCCTACGCTACTTCTAGCAGTGGTTATGGTCAACAGGCCTTACAGTATATGGGCTCTCGTCCTATACCTGTAACTGAGCTATAGCTAGAAGCACCTCCCCCGCCTCTGCATCGAGGTCGGGGAACAGTCAACAGCAGCACATTGCAACAATTGCAGGTAGCGAACAGCTGCGGTCCTGTACCCGACAATCAATCGCCCTTTATGCAACTGGAACAGATACAAGTGATGAGCAACAACTCTCATTGTTTAACTGCCACTTCCTCCAGTTACTTTTCACAACAAGATATGCGAAAATCTTTGCAGGGGAAATCACATACCATGTCCTCTTTACCGCGCCATGCTGGTAATCGTAATCATCATCAACAGCAAGAAAGCTCTTTGACGCACAATCACATTTACACACAGCCTTTGAACCCTTGTAGTGGTTTGATAGCCAACAGCCACTATAACAGTTGTAAAGCTAACACTACTGAGCGCCATGTACGTTTAACTCAGGATCATTTCAATCATAACAATACGACACTTCACCACAAATATAACAACAACAAACAGGGTAGCGGCGGTGGTGGTGCTTTGAGTATAAATCACACGCACACTCTCGATGCCAATTACTTGCATCACAATGACTCCCATTATTCTCTGCCAGTGGACCATAATTTAAGTAATTGTTACACTAGTCCTCCGTCCACGCCTACACCCACCCCACCGCCGCCAGCCTTGCCAATGCGTAATGGTATTTGCAGTACAACAGGACGACATACTTCTTCTTCTAGCAACAATAATAACAACAACAATAGTAATAATACAAACAATATGGCAACATTAATGCGCGATAACAACAGCAATAGCTTACGGCATCAATATCACTGATATCAGCTGCAAAAGTATCGAGAGCATGGCACCAAAAAGGGAAATTTTGGGGCTAATGCGGTATTCAGAGAACTTTCGGTCTTTGACAATTTTGAATTGATTGAAATGAGTGCAATATTACATTAAAAATTAATGAAAAAGAAGACGAAGAAAAACGACGAGAAAACCATTTATTTATTTATTTATTTATTTTTTTTTTTTTGTTAATTTACTTCTTTACTTTTGATATTTTCTACGTCCTAATGCAAATCTAATATTCTCGGTTGGAAACTCACCCTTCGCTCGTTCTTAAGCGATTAAAAACAATAGGCAACTAATGAAAAAGTGCGCAACAATTTATGTCTGGAATCAAATACTTGGAATTCATAATTCTTTTAAATTGCGTTAATGGGCTCTTTTGTGAACACAATATTTTAATCAGTTCAATAATGTGTCAAGTCTTCGGAGCTGGATGATGTCAGTTATGTCAGTTGTTTAATTGCATAAGGTCTTGCCATTGGACTACAAATTCTGTTGTCCGTTGTTGAATTATTTTGTAATAAATGAGAGAAAATGTCTATGCATAAGAATTCAGAAAAAATGTATAAGTATTACATAGAATAAATCCGAAGAATTAATTTAAACTGTAAAAGGTATGGAAAACATTTATAATAAAAATCTTGAAAAGAAATTCTAGTGATTTAAACAAGAAAATTATTTTGATGTTAAATTTATTGTAAAAAAAAATTGTAAATAGATATATTTAAAAATAAAAAACTCATTAATTCTGTTGGGAGTACATGTTTTTGAAAAAAAGAAAAGAACAACAGAAGTTCGAAAAAAAGAAAATTTACAATATTTTCCAATCTTGCAATCGTTTATCAATTAAATGAATTTAAGTTTTCCTTCTACACGTATTTTTCCATAAACTATTTTTTTTTCTTTTTTTCGTTCTAATGAGCTTTTTTTACGTTATATTTTTTTTAGTAAAAATTGCTTTCAGCAGAAAGGAATTCGGAATCGAATGTTTAACTTATTTTATTATAATTTTTCATTAATAATAACTATAATACGATTAATAATAATAATAATAATAATAATAAAAATAATGAAATTAAAAAAAAAAATCACGGATTTAAAAAGCGATCATACATGTACAAATTACAAAATCTACAACAGAAACCACAACAGCAAAAACAGCAATAATAATAACATACCATAGTTAGTTGAAATCAAGACCAGATGAACGAAAAATGTTTAAATGCTATATAATATATAATAGAAACGTATAATAAATAATATACATGCGTACATATGTCTGTATATACAAAGTATGTACATATATATATATTTAAATTTTAAAAATTTATAATTTTCTGTTTATTACCAGTAATAAAATGAGAATTAGAATAAATATCATTTAATAATAATAATAATAATAATATATATAAAATGTAATGTAAATACATGTACGACACATGCCGAACACGTAACTGCTATTCTTTGCAAGATAGCGCTTTGCTTGAGGAATAAATGTTTCCCTAACCTTTACTTTCGTATATATATTAGTTGGCGCTGGAAATTTCATCCTCTCTCAAAAAAAATATGTGCCGCCATGGATGACGACAGGACCAAAAACTACGCCTTCTCCCTTTTAAATATATTTGAAAGTAGTCAACGTTGCCGATTTGAGCCCCATGTAACTTCGCCGGAAGCAACAGATTTTTTTTTTTTTTTTTTTTAAATACCGTAAGGGAATGTGAATAAATGTTGTAATTTCCTTAACCTAACAAGAGCAATGCCAAATACGTAACTTATTGCAAACCAAGGTGAATCTAATTTACTCCTGGTGACCACATTGACCTAACCTAACCTCACCACACTATAGTTTATTATGCAAATATCAACACACCCTATATAAAAAGAAAGAAAAAAAAAGAAAAGTTCAACAACTTAGTTGAATATCAACCCCACCGTAAAGCAATCCGTTACATTTTTTTAGATTATCGCCGTGTGCTCACTTTTAACACTCGATTCGTTAACAGTAGCTCTTTATACTTAGCCTTATGATTAAGGTGACAAATGATTTTTTCCGCAAAACTGAATATCTGAACAGCTTTTAGAATATTTATTGTATATTAATATTTAGTTGCTTTTATTCCGTACACTACTTGCGGTACAAAATACATTACGTATATGCGAATGTATACAATATCCAGATGGACTCGACGTATGCCCACCCTTTAGATCGACAATTACTTTCTGAATCGACATGAATTTATCTGTCCGTCTGTCCGTCTGTCTCGTATCCTTCCATTAAACCTATAGATATATATCCTAATGAAATTTGATACACAGACCAACAATAACGTTTTTGCAAATGATTCGATTTGTACCAATTTCACGACCCCTCACCATTTCAGTTCTTATTTTAAAAAATTGTTATGTAAATAACGCTAGTAAGCGAAATAGTGTAGGCTGCCTACAGATGTCCCAGCATAGTGTTTTTAGTTTGTAACGTGACAAAAACCAAATACCGTACGATAATGTAAAAACGATACATTTCAGAGCCCCGAAACTATATGCTCGAGAAGGTAAGAGTAGCTGAAGATGGCCTAAAGGAACATGCATTAAATTTTCGCATTACTGGCACTTAAATTAAAATCCTTTTTTGCACTTTGTCTACGTTTCGACAAATACTTAAAGTAGACCTAAAAAGAGCATGCAGGATGGGCAGTTCGGATAGTTATTCAAAATTTGTCTCAACGTTTTCAGCCCTTCGAGTTTAGGAATTGAAAAGATTATGTGACTAATAGCCGTATACTGAACAAATCACCAAGGCCTCGTAAATGACAAAGGCGTTTTTGCTATGCGGTGTCGCTTTATAACAAATTTAGTATATCGGAGTTTTATTGCAACCATTGTTCCGGAATGTTAAAAGTATGACTTCAACCTGAGTCCAAATCTTTGACAAGAAAATCCATTCTTTTCTTTTAGGACTAGTGGGCGATTACTACACCTGTAAGTTACACTACAACAGTAAGTTAAGCGGCCAATGAATACACTATGTGCCGTTTGTAGCTAGCATGATGCAGAGACATTAGCTAATCAACATCTTGAAAAAAAAAATTTTAATTGACTAACTCTTCATACTTTTTTATTCGAGTTTATACTTCGGACAAAAGTAACGTGAATTCCTCATTTAAACTTCGCGAGTACAGTTAAATCAAAAAAAATGTTTTTCTCTTTTTTTGTAGACAAAGTTTTGACATCACTATCATTGACGTTAAAGTACGAGCAAACGACGATATATATATATATATATATTACGTATGCCCTGGTATACTTTTTGATGCATTAAACACTTTCAAGGATATCAGAACTTTATGTAGAAGAATGTCATAAAAATATTAGCCATTTGTTCGCAAGTAAATGTGTAGATATTTTCTATTTCAACGCAAGCTAAAAGGAATTATTAAAAATCTATATACTGACAATAATTACGACGGCGTCCAAAATATCTATTACACCATGTTATAGTAGAAACGAAGAGGGTGTAATTTTCAAATCAAGAAATTTCGCTGGGAAAATTGAACCCGTCCAGAAAGTCCAATGGTTCTTACGAGAATTATATAAATTGATCAAATTAATTGGTCAATAAAGTTATGTTCCCTTTGGAGAGTGTTTTAATGACCAATTACATATTCCCACACAAAAATTATGATTTGATTTTAAGCAATTAAATATTTAATGAATTTTGTTTGAAAAAGTTGCATCGTTCTTGTAAATGCAATGTGTTTGAGTTACATGTTGTCACTTATTGGCAAAAATATGAGAGTGGGCAACAAACGCCACTTAGCGCCTAGAAACGCCTAAATTTGTACAGACCCTCATGCTAGGGCTAGAGCTCTTGCACTATTTTGAGGTAAAAAGTTCGTTTTTATGACTGCCTCAAGCTCAATGCTAACTAATACTAATAAAAGCTGGATTCCTTCTGAATTGAAAATAATTTTGAAACTTCAAAACCCTTACTCCTGTTAAATAGTCATCAGAAGATGCGCAATGCTTTTCTAATGAATTTTGAATTTCTCTTTTATGACGTACATTGAAAAAGTAATGAATGTGAATCACTGTAGGATGGTGTAGGGTGTTTATCGGTATGATTATTTAATTTCCTTTAAATTTGGCATGAGAGCGGATTTCGCGCATATGTTACAAATAAATATTTTATTCAACTGTGCAGGCTCTCGTGAAAACGAAATATTTGCAAGTTTTTGTATTTGCTTAACAAATTGTTTTAAAACAAACTGTATCATCTGCTATCACGTCTGAAGGGCAAAAATATGTAACAACGATATTTGCAATAACTAGCCCACGTTTCGCTTAATTGATAAGTTGACCTAAAACAAATTTATTGATTTGCAACTTTCGTTGTTTGCTTTCGTTGTGCATGCATGAAAATCGCGCTATTTACAAATTTTGTTTTAATTTTGACTCCTCGTATACCTGTACTTATAAAGATATTCGTTTACGAGTCAATTTTTGATTAGAAGTCATTTAAATCAATTCTCAAAAATGTCTCTGAAATAATGCATATTGATTGGTGAAGACTAGTAATTAAATGTAAAACAATAAAAGATCGACTATGTTGGGATGTGTTTTTGTCATATGTTCTAACTACATGTGCTCGCCCTTATGCATGTACGTATGCATGCATTGAAAACAATTTAATATTCATTCAGTTTGTTTAGTTAACAAAACAGAATAATTGAAATATCTGTCATATTCCCATACCCGCAGTGTAAAAACAATAGTTACAAATTCAAATATATAACACGCAAGCACACACCTATATATATATATATCTATATATATATATGTATATGAAATGCAAAGCATAACATAAAAAAAATAAAAATCAAACGATTTGCTCTTTATAAAACCAACAACAGTAAAAAAAAAAAAAAAGTGTAAAGAATACAAAATATATATGAGTTATATGAAAAAATCAATACAAGGGATATATATATGTATATATGTATATGCATATACATATATATATACTTAAAAGGAGAACAGGAACAGGAACAAAACGAAAAATAATAAATATAAAAACTTTAACACTGAAAAATAAAAAAAATATATAATAATTGAATAAAATAAAGCAAATAAAAGAAACAAGA